TGTCTGGGTCATGTGGTTGAGTTTTTCTTTCAAGCTGACTCCAGCTTCAATCCGGCACCCAGACCAACCCTTTGTAGGGGGCAAGAATGTTCCCTTATAACCTTAGAGGGTAACTGAATGTGGGAAGAGTGAGCAGTGATGATGTCACCGTCTACAGGCAACTCTGGGTGCAGAGAAAGGGGAAGAATCCAGCTTGCCAATGACTGCAGAAAGCTTAGGTGCTCTGGGGGAGAAGGTGGGCGCTAAATCATTGATAGATGCACATGGGCACAGCTCTGAGCTACTGTGGGTCCATTCCAGACTACCACAATAAAGTGAATATCACAATAAAGCAAGACACAGGAAATTTTTGGTTTCCCAGTGCATATAAAGGTTATGTTTGCACTATGCTATTGTGTGCAATAGTGTTACGGCTAAAAAAAAGTCCATACCTTAATTACTTTATTGCTAAAAAATGCTAACCAGTATCTGAGCTTTTGGTGAGTCATGGTAGTCACATCACAGATCATTGATTACACATCACCGTAACAAATATAACAATAATGGAAAAGTTTGAAATACCGCGAGAATTACCAAAATGTGACACAGACGGGAAGTGAGCAAACGCTGTTGGAAAAATGGTGCCAATAGACTTGCTTGAAGCAGGGTTGCCGCAAATCTTCAATTTGTAAAAAAACACGGTATCTCTGGAGCACAGTAAATTGAAGTGCAATGAAAGGCGCTATGCCTGTATGTTAGCACCTGTGGAACTCCAGGTGAGCGGAAGGTGGTATATCACCCCATGTAGTGTTCCTGTTTGGATCTTAGTTCAAATTTTGGGAGATGATACCAGGTAACTTTTGTGGTATTTTCTAAAGATGAGATTCTTAGTCTATGAATCATCACACCATGTATCAGGCTGGTATCCCCACAGGATGCTCTGGAGGTCACAGAGCATAGGAACCTCATTATTAGAAGGAATGTTACTGTCACTGAGCTCAGTGCCTCCCAAATGGCTGCCCACGAACCTGGGCTGGCCTGTTTTCTCCTGTTGTGACAAAAAAGCAAAATATAAACACAGTTATGTTTGCATTGGTTTGTAACATTTTTGTAACATCTAAAGTATGCTGCAGTTGAGTTATAACTCTGGAGTACATCCATGAAAAAAATGAGCCAAATTGTTTCTTAAAATGTCTCTGTTCCATCAAATTCAGAGGCCCTGGAATCCTGAATTGGAGCCAGCCTTCTATCTCGCAGGAATAGCACATGTGAGATAGCAGGTCAAGCTGCGTGGCTCATTGGGAACAGTCAGTCCTGCCTTGCCACTTTCTTGTATGTGGTCTGGAGTTTTTTTAACACCGCTGGGGCTCAGTGGCTTAAAACGACAATGGTTTATGTCTTACACCACATGCCCATTGCAGGTTCCCATTGCTTCACCACACTGCCCTCCCTCAGGGACAACGGCTCCACCTTTTGGAATCTTGATGATCACCATGGTCATGTGAGTGACCATGCACTGAATTTTAAAGGCTTCAGTCTTTAAAGGCTTCAATTCAAGCACTGAATTTCAAACGCTTCAGTCTAGAAGTGGTGCATGCTATTGCCCCTCATATTTCATTGGCCAAGACAAGTCATGTGATTACATCTAAGTTCAAGAGGGCAGGAAAGTACAATCCTACAAAGAAGTTCTTGGAAGGAGTAGAGGTAGAAATATTGGCAAATAGCAGTTAAGGCCAAACATACAGTTGTTCATTAATATTCCATTTTCTTTATTTTAGCTCAGCATTTTAACTGGTTGAAATATTTTTATATCTTGATTCTGGTATGAATTGTATTAGCTGCCAAATTTTGAGAGTCTATGGCATTTCGCTATAAATTTCCTCTAGCCTGGTAGTGATTCACTGACTAGTACATTCAGACTGCAGTTGTTCAACCATTTCAAGTCCACTTTCTCCATAAGAGGATCATGAGAAATTCTATAACAGTCTTTGCTGAAATCACAGCAAAGACACATTATTTGGGTATTTTGCCCTTGATTTATTAAAGTATGGTCTCTATCAAAAAAGGAAATAAGGTGGGTTAGGGGGAAGATTTGATGTTCTGTAAGTTTGGAATAATATGAACCAAAGGTCTGGATAATTGAATTTTTAGTTTTCATTTAAACATAGAGCCAACATTATTTTAATAACTTCAGTTAATAAGACATGATATTAGTTGGACTCTTTGGTTAGGTATTTGGAGGTCTTGCAGATGGTTTGAAACTGTCAGCCAAGTACCAAATCAACCTTCAGAACCAAAGAAAAGACCCACTTCTCCGAGAGTGATAACAGCAATAATAATAGCGAACACTTGCATGGTATTTACTGTGTGGATGTTTTGGAGCCAGGGCACATAATATTGTTCAGAACTAATCACATAGCTCCTCTTATAACCAAGGGGGCTGGGAGATTTAGTCTTCCTTTTTAGCTTGGAGAAAAATGGTCTTGAATTGTCTCTTTCATAATACGCCTTTTTTTTTTTTTTTTTTT